GGCCCACCGCCTCGCCCCTCACCCACTACCCTTGATCACCTCTCCACACTTGTTTCCTCCACTCTGACCCAGCCCCTCCCCCTGCCAGCCTTTACGGCCAAACTCCTAACTGCCTCAGGACCTTTGCACTTGCTCTGTCGGCTGCCTGGCATACATTCCTTCAGGTCGCAACTGAAGGGTCAGCTCCTGACAGAGATCCTCACTGACCACGCTGACTAAAGCCGCCCTCCCACTCACTGTCTGTCACATGCTTTATTTTCTACAAAGCATGTGTGACTCTCTGAAATCATCTTGTAGGGTTAATTGTTGCTCCTTTGGGGCCTACCCAAGTCCCCTCACCTCCACTATCCATGGGTCAGAGGCTGTATGCCCCATGCCTAGCACAGTGCCTGGCACACACACACACACACACGGCAGGCATTTAATAAATAGTGAACAAGTGGACATACTCATTCTGGGCAGGTAGAGACTGTTGGGGACCCTAAGGCATCTGGGACACCCCAAGCTTAACCTCAAGGCTGCTGGCCAAGCGGCAGTGGAGACCCACAGAGGTGAAGTTAGATCCCAATTCTGCTACTAATAGTTGTGTGTCCCTGGGCCAGTTGCCTAACACCTCTGAGCTTTATCTTCATCTGTAAAACTGGAGTAAGGCACCCACCTTACTGGGCTGTCACTGGATCCACATAGGGAAAGGGCCTGCGTCACAGTTCTGGGAACTGCCTGCCGCACTCAGTAACTGCTTTGTTAAATGAATGAGTGGCCCACGGAAGGGCTTGGTTAGTATCAGGGTCCATGCTGCCACCGAGGCCAGACAGTGATATTTCCGGAAGCGCTAAGAAAGAGAATGTGTGGAGACATTGCCAATAGAGTTATGACCCAATGCCTTTATGTCGCCAGAATTTTTATGTTATATTTACTCAAAGATCTTTTTTGGGCCTATTCACACCTTGATCCCCCCCCCTCCTCCCACCAGATCTCTAGTGATAAAAAAGTATTAGGGAAATCAGTGGCTTGAGGTGTTCCTAAAACTCCTCTGAGGTCAGAGCTGCCTCTGAACTTGTGCCATCCTGCAGCCAAAATCCTGAGCCCCTTGGCCTCTGCCCAGAGGGTGATCTGCTCCCTCCTCCCTGCACCTCAAGGAAGGTCTCCCCTCCAGCTGGCTTCCTGGCTCTCTCCATGGAGGGGGGGGAGGAGTCAGCGCACCTGCTGCAGGGACAGTCACACCCTGCAGACACAGGGCTCACAGTGCCCTGGACACCTCCCCCCAAACTGTCGTATGAACTCAGATTTCAGAAAAGGGAAGATGTTGTCTTAAACTTGATGAGATTCAGTAATAGGGTATAAGAACTAGGAAGGGGACTTTTTAAGTCATAGAAGGGAGAGGCGCCTCACTGGGCCTTACTGCAGACAGGAGGAGGACCTGCCTTTCACTGTGCCCTGTGTCCAGGGCCCAGGGACCTGGTCAGCAGAGCCAGACTGCATGCACGGCCCTGACTCTTTGGCCACCTTTCTGCCCCACTCACTGAGGGAGTAAGGCTCCCCCACTCCCTAAAGTGGGGAGGCGGTGTTTGAGAGTTTTTTCTCTTCCAACTTATGGGTTCCCACCAGTGGCCTCCAGGAGAACTCCGAACAGGGAAAGAGCTAAGCCAGAGTAAACTTTATATTTTTTTTTTTTAAAGATTTTATTTATTTATTTGAGACAGAGAGAATGAGAGAGACAGAGAGCACATGAGAGGGGGGAGGGTCAGAGGGAGAAGCAGGCTCCCTGCCGAGCAGGGAGCCCGATGCGGGACTCGATCCAGGGACTCCAGGATCATGACCTGAGCCGAAGGCAGTCGCTTAACCAACTGAGCCACCCAGGCGCCCCTAAACTTTATATTTAACAAAGTTGTGGGGCGTGGGGAACCCCGCTCCCGGCTGCACCTGTCACGTCCTGGCGGTGTCGGCTCTGGGAGGAACCTGGGGAGGGGTTGCGGGCCTCAGGCCCCCTCGATCGGACCACCCTCTCCCCAAACGCTCCGGTGTGCCTCCGGAGCTGGGGTCCCGCTTCCACCGACGAGAACGACTTGCTCAGGATCGGGGTCACAGTCCTCCTCCCCGGTTTGGCCCTGCAGCCAACCCTCCCCCAAAGTCTCCCCTACTGCCCAGCCCCGCCAACCCCCCTTCCCTCCGCCCCGGAAGCACGGAAAGCGCAGATTTGACGGCTGTAGCCCGACGCGGCTACCCGGCTAACCCGGCGCTGCTCAGCCCTCGGGCGGTCCCCGGACCTTCCAGCCGGGAGGGTCCCTGCCGCCGCGGGCGCTCCCCCAGCCCCCACCCCAGCGCCGCGGCTCTCGCGAGACGCCCGAGCCCGCTCCCTCCCCCGGCCGCCGGCCGCCGGCCCTGCGCTCCCGGGGCGCAGCCGCGACCTCGTTCGCCCCCGCAGTCCCGGGGTTGTGTTTCCCAGGACCTTGGGGCGGAGAAGACATTCATGCGGCCAGGGAGCGGGGAGGGGGCGAGGAGACCGTCCCTCCCCGCCGCCGGGCCTACGGTGAGGGGCGCGCGTGCTGCTGGGCCGGGAGGGGCCTCTGCGCGGGGTGGCTTCCCGCGGACGCACCGCGTCACCTCCGTGGGGAGGATGAGGCCCTTTTCCCGGAGTCGCGGCTCTGCGGGCTGCGGGCTGCGAGCCAAGTCTGGGGCGCCGTGGGCACGTCGTGGCTTCGCCGGGAAGGGCTGAGCTCCCTCCCGAGCTGCCCGGCCGGCCGCCCCTTCCCCTGCCCACCGAGGGGCACAGCGGCGCAGGCAGTGCCGGGAACCCCTCCCACCGCCGCCCGCACTGGGGGTCCAGCTCCCCCTCTGACGGGCTGGTGACCTCTCGACAGCAGGGCCTGCTCAGCCTCCCCATCTGCGTCTGGAGGGTCTGCCGTCGCTGGAATATTGGGGCCCCTGTGTTCTGGCTCCCAATTCGCCAGACGGCCCCCTCCCCCCAGGCCCTCGTCCCTCGAGGCCCTTCCGTGCAGTCCAATGAGGGGGCTACCTTGGGGAAACGCCGCAGAAGCGCAGGGCAGTCTGCCTAAGGTCGCATTCCTCAGAGTGAGTCCAACCTGGGGCCCCAGAACCGACTTGGAGGAGTGGGTCAGAACCCCTCCTTCTCTTCTCTTGGATCCTCCTTCCTTCTACAGCTCCCCGCGGCTGACAGAGGCTGTAGCCGGAATCTGCACCCAGGGCCCAATCGGGACAAAACTTGTGGAACCTTCTCTTTCCTCCCCTCTGAAGTGGAGAGACGGACACACAGCCCCGCCCCTCGCTGTGCTGCTCTGGGCTTGGGGCAGGAAGGTCACCGCCCACTGCCACGTGTAGCCACCTGGGGGTAACCCTCAGGGCCGGAAGGGATCAGCGGGGCAGCCTACACTGCACATCCGATCCCTCCCGCGCGCCTGAGCCGCGCAGGGTTTCTCCTCGGGACGCTGGCCAGCGAGTGGGCTGGAAGCTGTTTGCAAGGTGGACCTAACAGCCTTTGAGCTCGTTTCCCTGAGACCTGGCAGGGCTGGCGCGCGCGGAGAATTGTCTGCAGCCCTCAGAAAGAACCCACTCTCTCACTCCCCCCAGCCTTGACCGTACGCCCGAGGTGCTCCGGGACTGGAAAGCCAAGCGCTGATTTCCCCAAGGAACGCTCAAGCTGCGATTTGAAGGAAGCCGTCGCCACCACAGGTGGAGGCCATAACTGTCGTTTTCACATTCGGAGATGCAAAACCTGAATCCTCTGTCCCCCGTATTTGTGCCTGGAGGACTTGGCCCCGCTTGGAATTCGGCAGGACCAATATGGGGCCTCTCCCTGAGCTTTAACCGGCAAAGTGGCCATCCATCCCCATGCCCTGCTCTTTGTCCTCGTAGGAAGTGCAAGGACTGGAACCCACAGGCCTGCCCAGTCCAACCTAGAGGGTCAGAAGTCAGCTGAAGCCTTCCCGTGAGGAGAGGGCACCGCGGGCACAGGCCGCCAAGCTGCACCCCTGGAAAGGGCGCCCTGCGAGAACTGGGGACGCTCTCCGTCCTCTGCCTAGGTCAGGTGCCCTCGCTGCCGGAGTCCGACCGCGGGGCTAGGCGCTGCTGCTGAGCCTGTACTACTCAAAACGTTAAGACCTGGCGGCAGGCCCCGTTGCGGCCGGCTGGCGCGCCTCTGTGTGCACCTCGGATCCCCGGCTCCCCGTCGGCCTCACGAAGAGCGCCTGGGACCATCTCGAGGACTCACAGGCGGTTCTTCAAGTCCCTGGAGACCGAGCCAACAACCGGAGGTGGCTCTCGGCCCTGGGACACTTCCGGAGCCAGCTCCACGGCGGCCTGGGGCTCCTACGCCTCTGCCAGACCCCTGTGTAGCCCGGCTGCTACCGCGGGAGCCCTGGCCTGGGAGGAAAGGCGAGGAGGCTCGCCCTGGCCCCTCACACCGAGAGGAAGCGATTGCTGGGATCCTGCAGCAACTGCGCCGCCTGCCCTGCCAGTCCAAGCCCGTGGGGCAGGTCACAGTTCACTCCCGCGAAGCCCAGGGAGAGGATGTTTCAGAAGCCAGGGCGAGTGTCCCTCTTACGTCGCCGCGACCCCCCTCCTCCAGCCCCGCAGACTCAGAAACCCCTTCATCAAGACCCGCTGTGTCATAAAATATTTTATTGCAAAAAAATCACTGTCTTCGCAAGAGAGGGGTAGGAGCCCCAGCGCCGTGGGGGACCCGGCCTCAGCGTAGAGCCGCCGGGCTGTCAGGGCGCCCTATGGGGCCATAGTGACCTGAGCCCGGCAGCGGGGTCCCCGACGGGGCGGAAGCGAGTGTGTGCCGGCGGCGTCAGGTCGCGGAGGGCCGGCCGAGGCGGGTGGGGGTGCGGGAGAGGAGCGGGGCGTGAATGCGCGCGGAGCCCCGGGCCCAGGCGCCCGTCCGCCGTGCCGGACGCGAGTCCCCAGGCCAGGGCTGGGAGCGCACTGGGGCCGGGCTTGGCTGCAGGGTCTGTGTCCTTTCTCGCTTGGCCCCTAACTGTCCGCATTCAAGGTAATCATAAAACGTTTAGAAAGCAAACGGCGTGGCCGCGGAAGGGCCGGCTCGCGGCTTCCAGCGGGCGGAGGGGGCCTCGGGCGACGCTTTGGGCGCTCAGTCCTCGCGGCTCCTGTCGATGGTCTCGCCTGGCGCCTCCGCCGGCTTCTCCGCCTCCTTGGCGCGCTCCTGCTCCGTGAGCTGTTCGCTCGTGGGAATGGAGTTCTTCTTGGGCCGCCCCTTGGGCTTGGTGGGAGACTCCAGGCCGCCGCCCTGCAGCACCTGCGCGTAGGATGGCCGCACGGCGGTGAGCTGGGACGGGGAAGCGGGACCCCGCGCCCTGTGCCCAGGCACGGCACGACGAGGCCATCTGAGGCCGCGCCTAGCCCGGGGAAATGGCTGCCATCTGAGCGCTGCTGGGGAAAGCAACCGAAGGGTCGGGCCTAGGGGTTTCAAAGCTGCCGGAAGGCCTGAGGGTGCAGGGGAGCACGAAGTAATGTGGGCTGTGCTAGGGCACCCAGAGGCAGGGAGAGAGCAGAGAGGGTCCCTGCGGGCACCAGGCACAGAGGGAACTGGAAGGACTGGGTAGAAGTCTCCGCGGTGGGGGTGGGGGTGGGAGCTCCTGGAGGGCACAGGGGCCTGGTGGTGACCAGGGTGCAAAAAGTCACAAGCACACTCACTATTTTCTTCCACTTCATCCTCCGATTCTGGTACCACGTCTTCACCTGCAACTGGCTCAGGCCCAGGGATTCAGCGAGATCTATTCTGGAAAGAGCATGGTGCACCTTCAGCAGGGCTAGCACCCCCCTCCCACCACCCACTGGGCTCAGCCTGGCCCCGTGGCTACCTGTCCGGCGTGGAGAGGTACTTCTGCTTCTCAAAGCGTTTCTCTAGGCCCATCAGCTGCAGCTCCGTGAACACCGTGCGGCTGCGACGCCCCTTCTTGGCCTTGGCGCCCGGGTCCCCGGTGCCCGGCGTCTCCAACTTCCCACGGAGCTGCAGCTCAAGAGGCAGGTGTGGTGTGCCAGGGGCACCGGGCAGTCCAGGCCCTGCTGCCAGTAACGCCGAGCCTAGCCCGGAGCAGCCCAGCGGCGCCAGAGGGAACTTAAACACCGCAGCCTGCTCGGCTTTCAACACGGCTGCAAGGAGAGAGAGTGGGGAGCCGGTGAGCTTGGGCCGTGCTCCTCCTCATGGAGCCCCCGCACTGTGCACCGTGGGAGTGCCCGCCGCACTTGGCCAGTGCCACCCAGCACAAAACTTTCCTGTCTGGCCACAAAGGTCAAGATTTGGGCCGCCTGCCTAGGGTGACCCTTTTCAAAGCCAGTGTCACTGCAGTCTGGGAGGGGGACCTCCCCCACCCGGGCCTCTGCCTGGTGTCGCCCAGGCCCCAGCAGCCTCCGGGATTCTCAATGAATAAAGTCGGGGCTCCGAGAAGCACAGTGTGTCTTTCAAAGAAAAGGGAAAGCAAGAAGAAATGGCAGTGAGTCAGGAAGGTGAGCGTTTGCCCCAACCAAGTTGGCATCGCTGTGTCCCGAAACCAGAATGTTAACCGCGTGAGCGCGTCTGCTCCTCTGTGCCCGCGCCACAGCCACGCGGCGGGCAGGCGGGGGTCGCTTGCGGGGGTGAGGTTGGGCGCTCCCAGAGACTCCAAGCATCCCCCCGCATCAGGAAATTGTCCTTCCTGTTTTCTCTGTTTAGACTCTTCCCGCAAAGACGTTTCCATTTTTCATTAGTCCTATGAGGACGATTTTTTTTCCCCCCGCTTCAAACGAATTGTTAACAACAGTGCAAAGAGCCGCGGAGAGGCTGCATCAGAGCTGTATGAAAACGAACAAACTGGCCCCGCGGCCCTCCGCGCTGGCGGGGCCTGGGCCTGAGGGTCTTGGGTGCAGAGCAAGGCCATTTGCAGGGCGGGGCTCCTGCTGGGATGTAGGCGGCCTCCCTTCCCCGGCAGGCATCTCACTGGGGCCGCAGATGCTCGCCCGCTGGAGTCCGCCAGGGCCAGGCAAGGTGCCGGCAAATGTGAGGAGGGTACGAGCGATCCTTGGGGGAAGGTGGGACAGGGAGGGCAGACAGACCCCATCGAAAAGTCCACCGATGGGTGGAGAGAGACCGGGAAAGGCCAGAAGAAGAAGGGGTACCGAGAAGAGAACCAGCAGGAAAAGGCAGGATCGGCCAAGGAAGGAAGAGAACCGATGGTGGCCGAAAAAGCCAGAACAGGCAGCTCAAGATCCCAGGAGGCCCAGCCGACCTGGAGGGAAAGGGCCAGTCGGGCAGCGGCTCACAGCCAGGCCTCTTGTCCCCAGGCGAGGCCCGCGGGCAGCGGCGCTGCGGCAGACGCCGTGGCTCCCCCACCTGAGTCCCCGGAACCAGCGTTAGCCCCCAGCACAGGCCTTGGAGACACGGGCTTCTGCCCCAAAGGTCCGGCTTCCCCGCCGCGGGCAGCCGCGGCCACTCCCGACCAGCCCTCTGCGGCTCAGGCCCAGGAGCCCGAGGCCTGAGGTCGCTCTGACCCGCAGTCTGACAGTCGCAGTCTGGTCCTGCGCCCGCGCTGGGGATGCGGGCTCGGGGCCCCGACCGGAGGCCGCAGGTCGGCGGTGAAGGAGAGAGCGGACGCCCTCGCAGCCGGCCCGGCCCGCGGGCACCAGGCCTGCTTTCTGCGCGGCCCGGCGCCTGCTCCTCGCTTCCTCGGCTGGAGCGCGCCCTGGGAGCGGCCGGGGCCTGTGCACCCAGAGCTGCGTCCTCGAGGCGGCGCGGCTCGCTCCCCACAACGCCCGGCCCCGCACGTACC